ACTACCAGGGGTTGTAGGAGCCATCCACGGCACCTTAATTGATATTCAGCGTCCTCGTGAGTATGATGGATTTTACAACCGTTACGGCGACCCGTCGCTTAATGCGCAAGGCATGATGGACCATAAAATGGTCTTTTATCGGTGGACATTTACCCGTGACCCTTTTCGGACAAGAAAGTATGGAAAGTATCCCTACTGGGGCAGTCCTTACGTCGACATTTACCAGCTGGTTGTTATCTTCTTGGTGACTCTGGGTACACACTACTACTGTGGCTACTGACACCATATGTGCCGCATGAAGAAGGTGGTGCGTTGACGAGGACCCAGAAGCAGGTTAATTATCGGCTGTCGAGCACCCGCATGCTTGTGGAGTGCGCTTTCGGCCGCTTGAAAGAGCGGTTCCGAATTTTGAAGACTGTAATGAATGAAAAGTCCCTCGACCACACCGTTGCCATAGCTAACTGTTGCTTCGTGTTGCACAACGTGTTTATTCATTTCAATGATGGTCTTTTTCTGCACCGTGTCGCCGACGTGACCGAAACACATATATCCAACCTGCCGACAAAAGTGAAGCATTAGGTTGTATTTACTGTAACTGTTACAATTACTTGTTCATGAATCAAATTTCTTTTTGGGCAACTAAATGGGCGAGGAGTTGGGCCATCATCGCAGACTGTCCTTGAATTGCAAGCAATACATCGTCCATAGTCGCTCCAGTTGTTGGCACGAGCCTGGCAGTGGGCGCAGAAGCTAGCGATGTCCCCAAGTGAATCAGTCCATCCTTGAGAGCCAAGAAGCCGGCCTCCAAGGCCTCACTATGGCTCTTGGGTTTAACCACTTTCGATCGCTTCTTTCGACGTTCGTACGACGTTTCATCATCGCTCTGATCCTTCAAATCGTGCTCATCCTTGACATCGATGACTAACATATTAACCAAAAGAAATTCGATAACAATAATCGCAAAAAATATTTTTATATTTTTTTTCTGGATACCGTCCGAGCAATCGTTGCGTTTGTCGTCTCTTACGTCAGTCGACATCAGCGATTCTCGCTGATACCCCTTTTTCGCGCTGCAATACTCCAGCATCACATCGTAATGCAACGACAGGGGCAAGAATGCAGCGTTTCCAGCTGGCTGGGACTGGAAGGCTTAGAAATTGCCCACGCCGCTTTCATTTTCGTAAGCTAAGAATTAGGAATTTTTATAGTCCCAAATGCAAGGACACATATGTACCTTGTCCTGTATCTGGGCGACCGAATCGTCTTGCTCCATGGACACGCTTAACTCAGCAGCCAGCATGACCTAGGCAGCCTTCTCCTCAGAGTTGTACTTAGATTCGAAGCGAAGCGCCAAGTGGGACTTGTAGCGTAAATGGAACAACGCCGCAACCCCACAGATGGGTCCGTTTTGGTGTTGTGGTGGGGGACCGCCGCGAACGCTTGGAGTTCGTTGGCTGGGGTGTTTGCGGTTCTACACGACGAAAGTGAGAGTAAGTTAACGGTCAAGTTGTGTCTACCATTGCCTGGGAGGTCGGTTTCGTGAGTAGCACCGTAGACTTCGTTCATGCTGCTCAAACTGACACCAAAAGCGGGAATGACTGGTACCAGGCGGATACGTCGAATACCCGCCTGTAACCATGAAATGAGGCGGGATCATTATGCGTATTACGGATTAAACTGAACAATCAAACTAATTTCGTCGAAGCGTGAATGGCCAAAAGCGGGAACAAAATGTTCACAGACCAGGCTTTTACTACATACAATATACACGTAGTAGGTAGTATGATACACGTCACCTATAAACTACCAACTTTTCGCAAAATTTTCTGACTTCTATTTCGTATTCATTACACAAAGTTTCAGCAAATTGAAACGTAGGATCGACAGGTCTCAATGTGGTGAAGAAATTCTACGTCTTAGATTCAAAGTTGGTGATGAATTGGTCCAGAAATAGATATTTAACCTAACGTGATCGACCAGTGATGGGCCGATTTTTTTCTTATTTCTTTCGTGAATTCCTCGTCAAGTATTTATCCTAAGGCGATGCGGTGGACCTCGCCTGAAAGAGCTCGTCAAGATCTGTCACATACACCTAAACACAATGTATTTAGACAGTTCACGATGACGTAAATAAATTTCGCAAGTTGCAAAATTTACATTGATGACCAGTGATGTGCCGAATTTTATACTTGAAGTAAGTATGTATTAGGGTTGTGTAAAAAACAGGCGAGCAGACTGGAATTTTATAAAATGATAAAGGTATATTATATTTGAACAGGAATAAGATATTGCTGAACTGTACTGCACATTCTCTCTTATTCGGACACTAAACCGTCCCACGTGGCAATAGGGAGTAAATTGGAGAGCATTTGCCCGTACTACAACGAGATGGACGCTCTGTTTGGGGGGCGACAAAATTTTCATCCATCTTACATTTTTGAGACTAGTCTTCGCGGTAAATATATACGTCTCAAATATATAGCTAATTTCGATTGAGCAATTTAGATGCAAATGATGAGAGCAAACAATGCGACGAGTCGTTTCTTTCTGATGCAATTGGCAACGACGACGACCTTGATGACCACGACTACTCCAAGGACCAGCGCGACTTAACAACATCGGACAATCCCAACGACGACCCCGTCGCCGACGAGTATTGGACAGAGAACGATACTGCCGATCCTGGGCGGCAAGCCAACGCCCCACTTGACCACGAAGTTGAAGCACGTCACTCAGGCAATGGCAAGGGAAAATCCAAAGTCGTCCCACGTAAGTTCCCAACGCCGGAGAAGCGCCTGCCCCCTCGAAAGGACTTCTCATCCATGTATATGGTTGCGCAGAATGAAACGACTCAGCTGAAACGTGAGAAGTTCGAATACATGAAAGAAAACAACAAGAGCATTCAAGCTGCAGCCGCCGTCATGGATTTGCAACGTGCCAAGGCGTTATTCGTCGAAAAAATAGTAACGTCAGGTGTAGTGGGCGCAGAAAAAATCCGCGAATTATTGTCGATTGCGTTTGCGCAAGAATAAAGAATTTGCAATGAACAATATTCAATGAACAATATTCGTGTTGATAATATTATTCTTCCAAACCTAAGTAGTTAAGTAATTCGGACTTTATGCTTTCGCGCCACATAAGGGAACTTGCACCAATTAGAGTATTGCTAGCTACCACTGGTCGAGGCTTTTCAACAAACGGTGGTACTGTGTCTTTAAGTCGGTTTACAACGTTGTGGAGGATACAGCAGGCCAAGATCCAATCGCAAACATCGTTCACATCACTTCGCTGCCTACCAGATCAAAATATAAATATATTTAATAATATAGACTGACAAATATATGACAAAATATATATAAGACCTGATACAAATAGGATGTGCCGACAAGCTTGACCAGCGCCCTTTCAAGATCTCGTTGCCGTGTTCGCAGACCACCCGCATACTCGCATGACCGGTGTTGAAAGCGTCGTTGCCGCTGGCGCTTGAGTAGGGCAACCGATACGGCGTCAGCATACGCATGTCGAGGGAAAATCCTGAATCGCCCGCTTGGTATTGGTTGGAGTAAAAAAAACCGTCTGGACGCAGGGCCGGCGATGATGATGCCCACACAGTTGAGTCGTGAACGCTGCCCGGCCAGCCAGTGATGACGTGTCGGATTTGGCGTTTGTAATCAAACGTTAAAAGAACATTTATGGAGTATTCCTTCTTTCGACTGTAATATACCTCGCCGTTCAAAGCTGGTTTTCGGTACAAAACAATATGTGTGACATCAGTTGATAAAATACAGTTACGGAATCCATATCGTTCTGCATTATAACTGGCAAGTTGACCACGCTCACAATGATTAGGCCAATTGATCTCGAAATGGGATAATGACACTAAAGCATGAATAACACGATTAGTGTAAAGATGAACAGTCTCAATTCCTTTTGTTCGTGACACAATCCCTGCGGACGAACCAGTGCCATTATGACCGATACGGTGCAGTGCGCAGGCAAGCTGTACCCATACCGGTCGTTGAGCTCTATTGCTCGTCGGTTGAAAGATGGGGTTCAGTTCAATCAACTGAACAATATATGCAAATGTGCTCTGACATACACGAACCTCTTGTACAAAGTCTCCAACAGCCATAAATGGTAGAATGGATAGTTGCTCTAAGGATCGAGGGAGCGAAGCACGGGAGAACATAAACGTGAACAAAGTATCATGTATCGAAGTCGTAGAAATTCATTAATGTCCTTCGATGCAGAGGGGCTGCAGGTAGCAAGAGTTCGTACCATCCTATCAAAGTCGACAAGGACTGCTGCTCTCTCTGAGAGCTGTGGCATTTTCGACAATGAAGTGATCTATGCGGATACGGATAGCGGTTGCGGCTGAACCGAGTAGGAACTAGCGCACAGTGGTATCGACACTATTTTTTTCCATGGAGAATTCATAAATTCCGACGTCAACCAATAGTATTTTTTCATATTTTTTATTTTAACCAATAGTATGCTCATAAAAAGTTTGTAAATTGTATGATTGGATATAATAAAATTAATCAGATTGATCTTATTGCAAAATTATAATTCGTACTCGGAATAACTCCTTGCGCATTCGCATACAATTCCCCATATACCACTGTGCGCGAGTTCCTACTTGGTTCTCTGTATTTTACATGGGCGCATGGATGGCTGCTGAGATGTTTCTGGATTTTTGTATATGAATCTTATTCGTATATAATATCCGGAGGCGTTGGGACCTTTAACCTCCCACTACAGTGATAAAACGCATGAAATCGGTTTTAACGTATTTAGGTTTTGGGTTTACAGTTAACTACATTACTTTACAGTAGTACTGTAGTAATTGTACGTTAAATAATAAAACCTCCACTCTTCGATTTGGCCAGTTGAGTGTTTTTAGATAGCGTGTAGGTACTAGTATGTTACTATAGGTAGAAATAGATGATAGACACGATTCATTGGCCGAAATTAGTGTATACAAATACTAAGAGAGGTTCGACAGGGGTGAAAACAGCTCGCATGAGTCAACACCTCGACCCGCCCTATGGCGGCGTGCATGGAACACAACCAGCATTGAGCAATGAGCCAGTGAAACGTCCTAGCGCTGCCAATCCATTCGCATCGGGGTAATCGGGTGTCTTAGAAGCAAACACATTCTGACACGTCCTTTCATTAGACCTGTCGCATCGGTGAGTCAAGTTCGACCTGGGGCTGGATTCGGCATGCCTCCAGGAGCAGGTATGATAGAACCTTTCGATATGTTATGTCTCATCATGTTCGACATTAGCTCCATTTCGACCGCAAGCATCCAGTCAGCTCAACACCCCCCTCGGCCAGAAGCCGTTGAAGGACCCATCAGTTGGGGCGGTTCCCGAAGCGACTGATATGAGTTCATTTCCTCCGCCGCCTGCACAGTTTCACACACACGAGCTTGACACGGCACCGTTGGATTCCCTTGCGCATCAGTTCCAAACCACGAATCTCAACTCGACGTCGTCGTTCGGTCCTGCAGCGCTGTCCATCCAGCAAGACGATCCCTTCCAACGCGTGCCGACCGCGTACTCGTCGTCGTTTCCCATTTCGTCCACCACGTTCCAAGCCCCACCTCCACCCAGCGCCAAGCCACTTGACCTATTTTCGTCCAACTTCAACTCGGGCGATTCCGTCGGCGCCAGCGACGCGTTCGCCACGAACGACCCACATGGATTTGCACGAGTTCCCCCTCTGCCCCCTGCGAGGCGCGATAGCTTCAACAGCCCATTCGAGGTACACACACCACTCGAAATCCTCCATCGTCACCATCGTCACCATTGTCACCTTAGACGGCACCAACCAACGACTCCTTCCGACAAATTCAGTACCAGCCGCCCGCGACTCCGCCTCCTCCAGCCGCCCCGTTTCTAAACTACAACTCGAGCCCCAACACAAAGATTGCGTTCAATCAACCACCCCCGTCGGCATCTCCAAAGCCCTTTGCCGTCCGTCCCCCGCTGTCACCCCCCCAGCCCCCCGCCCAAGACATCACGACAGCCATCCGCACCACGGACGATTTGTTTTACGAGTTTATGAGCCACGTGAGCCCTGACAAACTGCCGACGCCATCTGCCACCGACCTCCCTCCAACGCTGGATACGCTCGTGGGTCTGTATCGGCAGCAGCAGTGGCAGCAACTCGAAACCAAGGCGTGGAGCATGCTCACGTCCCCAGACCCACAGTTCAACCTGCATGTGCATGTAAGTACGATGGAACCATCATCCCCATGTCACACATAGGTGACGGAATGATGATATGTAGACGTGGGCCATGGTGGCACAGATGAAGTTGGGCAAAGTCGACGACTTGGAGCAACAAGTGATTGTGCTAGGGGACCTCGACCAGTACCAGTACGAGAACTACCCCGAGGTACGTGGTTGGAATTTGTACTGTACTGTACTGTATCGCATGGATAGAGATTTCCATCGAAACAAGGCTCGTTCGTGCCCATGCGGCTCCGCTACATGACAGTGCAGTTGCCGCGCCTGAAAAGTATGTGGTTTCGTCGTAGTAGTTACTATTACTAGTAGTAGTACTAGCAGTGACGCGATCGGTGTAGACAACGTGTCCATGTACGAGACGATGGCCAGCCAACTGCTCGTGGATTTGGACCAGAACACGTTCCAGCTGTCGCCTGAGGACGCCACGTCATGGCACAACATCGTCACCGTGAACCTGATCCATTCGTTCCTCGACCGCAAGAAATTCGACGTTGCCCTGCGCCTCGCCACGTCCCTCTACGAGGTACTACTACGACCTACTACTACCATGATCGTTTTGCATGTCGTTTAGCGCCAGCGAACTGCGAATGCAACTCACCGCGTGATTCTGGCGTCGCGCTTGGGCCGCATCTACCTGCAAGTCGGCGACTTAAGGCGCGCGGAAGGTTTATTTGCCGACGCCGCCGCGCTCAGCGCCGAGATTTCCGACCCCCACCACGGTAATATGTATATAGGTACCTCGTCATGATGAATGAACTGTGTCATGTTGTGGTAGACTGCGCCGCACGAGTGTTGCTCAACCAAGGACTGCTGCACTTTGCACATAACCGGGTACAAGATATAATGTCCACAAGTCGTCTATATAGTGTACCTATATGCGTTATTCTCACAAGAAACACGAGGGGGCTTCTAGTTCAAGGAAGCGCTGGATGCGTTCAACACGATTCTGGGTGTGTACAGGTAGGTACATGATGCTAACGTGTTGATATCCACATTCCTTGCTTTGTGTGTGACAGAGTGTGGTACGTACTGTATGTAGTGGCGACGACGACCCCGACGACGACTGGGGCGACGAGTGTTTCGCATGGTGGGACGATGGGGACGTCGTGTCGAGTGCGGCCAACAACATGAGCATCTGCGCATTGTACTCGTGCCAGGTGCAGACGGCCGTGACGGTCCTTGAGACGGTGCTGCAGTCCGACCCGCGGCGGCACCTGCACAGCGCCGTCGTGTTCAATCTGAGCACTCTGTACGACCTCGTCTGCGACAACGTCAACAGCACCAACCGCAAGAACATGATCAAGCGAGTGGCGGAAGCGTACAACGTCGAGCACATTGACAACGCGTGCTTTCGCATTTAAAAATCAATCCCAACTTGTTAGCGTTTCGGGGTTTCGGGGTTTTGCTTTTGGCGTTTGTGGGGGGGCGTCGTAGGGTCGTCGTTGAAATGCACGTGGGTGTCGTGGATCACGGCCTTGGCTGGCTTGGACACGTGGACGGTGGCGGCAGTAGCTCCTCCTTTTGACGAGGACGCGTGGTTGACGAGAGCGGTCCAATACTCGACCTCGTCGTCGCCCGTCACGAGGTCGATCGTAATGTCGTTGCCCTTGAGGGTTAGCGGGGCTCGATGGAACGTGTCTAACACTGCACCATGTCGAGTGAGGATGCTGCTTTGTGAAAAACGGGAGTAACACTCGACTACGTACCTCGGTGGGAGTGGGAAGTGGACAAGAACCGAGCAAACGCGACGTCGCCGCCAAATTTGAGCTTGGAATCGTCCAAGAACGCCACAGGAGCCGCGATTTCCAGCGCCGCCTTGATGTCTTTCCGTGGCATGTCGGAAGGGACGTTGGACAATCGAACCAGAAGCCCTCGTGTGAAAAAGTCATGGGGGGACGACGCGTTGGCGGCGGCTTCCACCGCTTGCTTCAACGTCCCGGACGTGGTTTGGGACGGAACGTGTTGTATTCGCTCCTTGAGACTGTCTCGCAGCTGCAGCCACTTTGTCTTGGACATGCCTTTGATGGCGACCAAGTTTGGATGCGAGTCCTCGGTCGCAGCCTTCAGCGCCGCCAATGCGGCATCGACAGCCTCGGCGACCGCGAATTCGACGAAGGCAAACCCTTTGAACTTTTGAGATCCGGGGAAGCGAGGCATGCTGACCAAATTGACTTTTCCGAAGGGCGCAAAGAGACGGCGAAGATGGTCGTGGTCGGAACCACAGGGGAAATTCTCGATGTAAATGGTCCGATCTACCGAACATAAACGCGTATAAGCATTGGACGATCGTTGGAACGGGTGCATGAAGTCATACCAAGACTGTCGTCTCCGTCCTTGGTTGGGAATTCCTTTGGTCGGACATGTGTCTGCTCGTCGTTAAGGACCAACGCGGAGGACTTCTGGATGGCTTCCGTGAGCATGCGCATGGTTGCCCCCAGCGACTTCATGCGGTTGAACGAGAGAAACACATCGAGGGAGATGAATCCTTCCGTATCAAGTTGCATTTGTTGCTGGAGGAACTTGTCTTGCCGAAGGTTCGACGGACTCAAGTAGAACTCCATTTGCTTCTGCACCTTCTTCTTCGCGCTCATGATTGATGAGGTTGTGAAGTTGGTTCTTAAATTCCGCTGTTTGATTGGACAAAATACCAATCTTTTCAACCAATGCATGTATGTGATCACATCTGAGTGTAGTACGATACCAGGAAATGTACAGGAATATACAGCTTACGGCGGGACAACGTGTGAAAGCCTACAGTATTCACGCCGTCGTTTCCAGAGCTATCATGTACATGCATCCGTCGATGCACTCGACAGATAATGACCATTGTATGGCTGACGCAAAAAAATATTCCGGTGGACAATTAAATCAAACATTTAATGATGCTTACATATATCAAATAGAATGATGGGAAAGAATAATATTTTACTTCTAGAAAAGAAATCGATTTCTAGCCAATGAGCGCTCGTTAGGTGAGGCAAATGGTTGGCTTGCACAGTCTTCAAATCACCACGATGGCATCGTTTACGACTCCTGCCGTGAGCCAGAACAGCAAAGGATGGGGCCCCACGGACCTCCCCAAGCAGTTCCTGAACATTCCCTACGCCCCCTTCGGTAAGCTAGACAAGCTGGGCAAGGCTGCCGATTTCACGGCGCAGTACCAGTCCGCGAACCCGAACCGACCTGCCCGCTACCAGCGCACCAACGATCCGTCGGGCGTGAACGCCGAGTTCCAATACAAACACGACACGATCGAAGACCAGTCGTTCCAACTGGTGGACACGGCCAAGGCCACCCGCAACAACACACGACTCCGTCCGACGTGGGGCCAACAACGCTTTGCCGCGAACCGCCTCAACAACCGCAACGGCAAGACCCCTGGGCAAGGCCCGCCCGTGTTGGAATCGCAAAGCCAAATGATGAAGAAGGGACAGCAGAAACAGAACAAGCGATGGGATCGTCTGTCCAATGCCCGCCGCATGTTTTCGACCAAGCGCCGCGACGGCGAGACCAAGGAACGCATGGCGTCAGTCCAAGTGAGCACCGAGTGGAAGTTGGTGCAGCAGTTCGAGCTCATGCAGCTGATGAAGCTGCAAGCCAACATCCCTCCCTCGGAGGACCTCAAGACGCTCGGTACGCTGCACAAGTACGACGACAACTTCGACCGCATCTCAGCCCGCACTGCCAAGCCGTTGGCGCGCTTCGAAGTCAAGGAGAACGTCGCGGTCACGACAACCGAAGACCCCGTCATTGAATCGTTGGCCACCGAAGGCGCAGGTACCGTTTTCGCCTTGATTATTCTCTCTGCATGCATATATATGTATCCATCCTCGACCAACTCCACCACCACCACCACCGTCATGTTTCCGTTGATGATCCTATTATACGCTATTCTGATTGCTTTGTGCATGCCGAGAGTTGATTGTGGCTGAGGGATATATTGTACGATGTGGTGGTGGTTGATGTTGACGAAGGCTATTATTGTATGGACATTTGACACGTGATCAATTTGATATGCCTGACGATCTTGTTGATGGATAGGCACTGTGTTTGCCACGGACGCCATCTTGGCGCACCTGATGAGCTGTCCTCGGTCCGTGTACCCGTGGGACATTGTCGTGCAGCGCGTGAACAACCTGCTCTTTTTCGACAAGCGCGACATCTCTTCCGGCGTGGATCTCTTGTCAGTTAACGAAACGGCGCTGGAACCCCCCAACCCGGACGAGCCCGACAGCGTCAACCACCCCGACCGTCTCGCCGTGGAAGCCACCGACATCAACACGTTCTTTGCCCACCAAGTGCTTCGCCCGGCCGCCGAGTTTTCCAAGGCATATGGCCCCAACCCGTTCCCGGATAACACGGCCCCTGTCGCATACAAGTACCGGCGGTGGGCCCTCAACGAGTCTGTGAACCTCGTCGCACGATGCGAAGTCAACGCGTTGTCCCTTAAGGGCGACGTTGAGCAAACCGTCAAAACGTTCGCATTGAATGAATGGGATCCCAAGCTCAGCGGCAGCATTGACTGGCGCAAGAAGATTGATTCACAGGTTTGTCCTGTTTACTTTTATATATATATAGTGGTTCTATATCTACCTTGTGTGCCAAATAGTATTATCCATCCATATTATTTACTGCATGTTATATGAATGATGGCTTGCAACCATTTCACTTTTTTGAATACAAGTTACTTATATTGTTTTTCATTGTAGCGTGGGGCGTTGCTCGCAAACGAGCTCAAGAACAATGCGCCCAAGATTGCCCAGTGGACACACTCGGCGCTGCTGGCCAACGCCGGGCTCATGAAGCTCGGGTACGTGACCCGGCACAACACGAAGGACAGCCAGTCGCATGTGATTCTGGCCACCCAGTCATACAACCCCGTGGACTTTGCACAGCAGACGTCGCTCAACCTGACCAATGCGTGGGGTATCATCAAGATGCTCGTGGAGCTGTTTATGGAGCAGCCGGAAGGCAAGTACGTGATGATGAAAGACCCGAACAAGCCCGTCGTTCGCATCTACTCTGTCCCGCTCGACACATTTGAAGACGAAAACGGCGGTGACGATGACGACGAAGATGACGAAGAAGATGACGATAATCTGGACGACGACGACGAGATTGACGAATAATATATTGAACCCCACACGTCGTCGCAAATTGACTTTTGAAAACGTCCATGGGATATGTGACATCGTCGGAAATGTGACAGCGTACTACCACGTTTTCAAACATGTGGCTGCCACCACAGGACTGTAATGCGAATAAACGGGGGCTTTATTTGTTATACATGGCAGACAGGAGGTTAGTTGGTTGTCCTCCTACTTACTGCCCGCCAAACTGGAACGGAGTCGTGGCCGGTTGAAACGCAAGGGTGTTGGTGGCTTCATCCACGGCCGCCGGCGCCAGCTCGGCGTCGACGTCGTCATCGAGCACCCCGTCGAACCACGTGTCGATAATGTGCGACGCGGCGGCGCTCACTTGTTCGTTGGCGGCGTAGCACAGGTTCTCGACGCACTTCAAGCACCCGCTCTCCTCCACGGCCACCTTGGCTTCGTCGTGGCCCTTGTCGAGCACGGCGCTGATGGCTTCGAGGATCACGAGCTCCAAGCTCGGGTCTTCGTACTCGTCCAGTAGCGTCGAGAGCGACGACAAGACGTCCAGACGGACCAGCTCGGCGGCCACGACGGCGTTCGCGTTCACGAGCAGGTTGCACACCGCCCACCCCGCCTCGCGCTTGACGCTGTACTCGGCCCACGTGAGTTGCTCCACCACACTTGTCACTACCCCCGGGGCTTCGAGCACCGCCGTCATCTACACATACATATATATATCACCATGGACTGAAACACACAACTGTAGCATTTCACAGTAGCAGTAGTAGTAGTAGTAGTACGTACATGTTGAACGGTTCCACCCGCCAAGTTGGACAGCAGCCAGCACGCTTCTTCGCGGATCGACCGGCTCGAGTTTTGCAGCACGCGGGGGCACGCCGCCAACAGCCCCGCGTCCAGCACCACTTGCACGTACGCTTCGTCGTGGGAGATGACGTAGCCCAGGAGACGCAGCACCGGCGACAACACGAGCGGCGACGAGTACATGTGCAGCGCCTCAACCAGCTTGGCAAACACTCCCGTGGACTGCAGCACGGCCAGCACCGCCACGTTGTGCTGCGTGACTTCAACTACAGCCCACGTCGAGTCGCACAGCGTCAGTGCCCGCTCGTCCAGCGAGAGGGTCTCGGCGTCCTGCGCGGAGGACGCGTCCTCGTCGTCCCCGTCTTCGTCAAACACGTCTTCGATCGCTTGCAGCGGCCGGAGCGTCGACCGCGCGGCGCGGAACGTGACGTTTTCGCCCGTCTCAAAGTTCACATCCACATCCACGACCTCGACGGTGGTGTCGTCGATGTCGCGAAGCAGCCGGACGACGGCAATGTCGTTGGGGGCGGGTTTGCCGGTTTGGAACTCAAAGAGGCGCCACGGCGCGGCCGACGGAACTGCCTTGTCCTTGTCTTTGGCCCACAGTTTGGCCCGCTCCTGTACCAGCTGCTTGATCACGTTGCCCAGGACGGTCACGAGTTCGAGTTCAAACTGAGGCGTGAGCACTTGCATGGTCGCTAGCAGGTCTGTCATGTCGATCATGCTGCGCAAAAGCCACACGGCGGCGCGGCGGAGAGACGGCGTGCTCAGCCGGATGTGCGGGATGACTTGGATCGGTGGACAGATGTGCACCACGGCTTCGCAGCACGCTTTGGACTCGCTAGCGACGTTACCGAGACACCACGCTGCCTGGATTTGCAGCTCGGAAATGCCGCACTGCAGCAGCACCGCGAGCTTTGGAAGCGCACCGCCTTCGATAACCAGGTTCGATCGATCCATGGACGAGATGAAGCGAAGCGCAAAGGCTGCGTCGGACTGCATCGGCACGTCGGGGAGGTCTAGGGTGCTGACGAAGAATGGGACGGCCGTCGCGATGGTATGCCACAACGGGACATGCTGCGGATCACCGTCGTCGAACAACGGTGGTACTCCAGAGCTCATGAGGTACACAAACGCGCGCAAACTCTTTCGACGTACTTCCTTGTCTGGATGCTGCAATCCCACCAACAGCGTCTGACTGCGCGACGCCAGCTGCTCGATGAGCAGCGACCTTTCCTGCGGTCGATTTTCCGCTTGGGCCTTGGCTTGCGCGGCCAGATTGCGGCGCTGGTTGTACCCATCTTCCTTTCTAGCCTTTCGGATCGACACCTGCGTGTCCATACGAGATCGGCGGCCCGTGGCCCCCGTGAGAGCCTTCTTCAGAGGCGCGCGAGGCTCCTTCTTCGTTCCTTCTGGCATGTGGTCTATGAAAAGACTTCAAAACTTGAAAATCGGTTTTGCCTAAGGGTATTCTGCCAAAGTGTATGAAAGCTAGGATTGTTCCTATTCGTAATGTTGGTGGAACAGGGGTGCGACGAGCTAGCCAATCAAAGGGCTGGTATCGACTTTTAGACCAATCATTATCGTTCACTAAGATACATTGGAATTAGCCAATCAAACAGCTGGTGCCAACTTTTGACCAATTATTATCGTTCACAAAGATACCTCGGAACATGCGAATTTGAGGCACGACATTGTCGGCTTGAGGTCCATGAAGATGGAGGAGTGAGCAGCAGCAAGACTCCAGAAATGATTGCTACGTAGTATAGAAGACATGATGCACACGAACAGCAGTCACGTGAGACCCCTTGCACCATGCTACGGAACGAGCGATAGGTGCACTTGCCTCGTGGTCGAGGTTGGCTCCATCACAATGTCCAACCAATCAATAAAAATGAGATGCTATTACCTATAATCATGTCCTAATCTGCCTCAAGCGTTCTAGCCATACCACGTCGAGATCGAGGGCAGTCGTGGTAAGGATGGAGCCATCATCATGTGTGAGTACGACCGCCCAAAGGTGGCGTCGCTTAGGTCCAGCGGTGGCAGATCGGGGGACGGAAAGAGACTGTGGCTGTTGTGGGGCAGACTGTGAAGGGCCGGGGACGTGTGTCGGGAGTCGCTCGACATCGAGTCGATGACCGACGACTGCGCGTTGTCGTCTTCGTTTTCCATGTCGTCGTCGTCGTCCATGTCAATCGCGTTGGGATTGTACAGCAACATGGCCAGTCGCTTTTGCTGTTTTCGGATTTGGATGTCGTATGCTGTGCGGTCCACTCCGTCGAACATGCTGCTGGCCGTTTCCATCGACAAGATGCTTTTCCTAAGCGACCGAATGTGGCGATGCGGCCATCGCGGGATGCCGACGCGGCGACACACCTTTTTCATCAGGGTCGTGCAAATGCCAAACAACTTCGCGACTTCGGCCAGCGGCTTGTCAAAGTGTGGTCGCAAGATGTCGATTGTAATGTGTTTGGAAAAGCTATGGGTGGCCGTGGCATTGAGTTTCTTCTTGGATGACATGGAAGTCGAGGATGTCATGGAGTTGCCTGGCAGGAGCTTTTTGTGCGTTGTGATAGCGGTGACGATTGTGGCGGCGGTCGGAAGGCGGTGCTTGTGATGCTGAGGCGACAGATTCATCACAGATTGCAAAATGTTCCCTTCACTCACGCTCGAAGCTTGCACAACGAAATCGGGAAGTTGACAGGTGACGCATGGCGACGCAATTCACTCGTTCCAAAGTTGACAAATCCTGGCCTAGCAAGTACGACACGATTGGCTACTTCACTTTGCACCCACCAATCAAAGTGCAATAAAGTGATCATGGTCTGTGATTGGCCCTTGCCAGAGTGTCACACACCTGCTTGAGATTGCAGTTTACAAAACTACAGTACTGAGACGATGGAAAAGACCAACCGTGACACGGCTTTGGACATAAGTTCCTCCGCGTGTTGTGTCAACTAGACGACATGCAACGTCGTGACATTCACGCAAACAACTCCCGCTTCCTTCCATACCTTTTCTATAGGCAAATACTACTGTCCAATACCGTGAACGACAGGCGGCGCTTGGTATGTATGACCATTCGCCGGAGAAGTATTTATCCACAGAACCCACTTCCGTGCCGTCGTCGAGTCTATGGTGCGTTGGGCGCGCCCGTCGGTGAATGGACATACACGGTTATGTATACATGGATTGATTGGCATGTTGGTGGCGCACCTTGAGGTGAGGGCTGGGTGACTGTAGTTGACGAAGCCTTGGACGAGACGAAAATAAGGTTTCATCAACATCAATCATGTGGCATCCCTTGGTGCCTCGTCGACATAAAAGTAGGTGCATGCAGTTATCCGGAACCGATACAATTTTACAATACTACGTACTCCTCCTAGTACTACGTAGTACTTTAGAAGAAGTTCGAAATAGCTGTATAGTAATCGACAGAATAAAACGCTCGTTTACAAATACACTCACTAGGTTGACTCAACTTGAAGTTCAAATGAGAAAATACTTGTAGTGAAACAACATGGGTCAATTTTCGCAACTTTTCAAAGTCAAGTCGCAGCCATCCAACGTGGGGATCACTGTCCCGAGTGAGAAGGCTGGTGCATATTTGATGAAGGTTGTTTACTCATGCAATTTGAAGTGCAGGGCATGAATACTCTGATCAAATTGACGACAGCACCATACCAATGGTGCTGCGGACGTACACCCTGCCATGGATACTGTATGGCTCAGCGTACTGTACAGTCTTTCGCTGAGATCATTCGGTGTTCTGAGGGATTCCATTGGCAAGTTCGTCTAAATTTCGGCCAATGAAAAGGCATCTTGAAGATCTTCACAATCACATCACCTCTGCGAACGGGCACTTGAGGACGTTGGTGACTGGATTTGACCCAATCTCCCAGAATTTCCTGTTGTCATAGATAGATTTCATCCAATCAAATGTGCTGAGTTAAGTAAATCCCAAGACAACGCTAGGTTTTGCGCACCGGTTGGTCGAATGAATCGGATGACGTTGGGGTGCTGGCGATGGCGTTTGTGCCCAATTGGTCGTTGGCATTTCTATAGCATTTTGTATGCAGCATACAATCCTCAAATGAAAAATAGATCTGTGTTGAGGAATTGGCCAAAAGGTCCCTCTCAGCAGTTTGCATTTTCGCGTGAGATCCCCCCCCTCCTCGAGTCGCCAGCAGCACCAACGACAATGGTCACAGGAAACTTAAACATCAAAGGTACCGTTGCCCCTTGGCATGCATCACATGACTCATTCTTTGCTGCTGCAGTGCTTCGTGTGGAAGATCTGAAAAACCAGGCGAAAGGAGCGAAGATTCTCGTGCGCGTGACTATTGGCAAAATTCAGAGCCAAACCGAGCCACAGCCTGCGGAGACAGGTCAATTCAACGAAATCCTGACGTTGTACGTATATAGACCATGCCATTCTTCGATACGTACGCTCATAACGCTGCGCTAGTGAGGGATTTCAATCCGACAACAAGAACGCGGTGCAAATCGAAGTGCTGCAAGCCGATGGGGCGAAGCCCATTGCGTCTGCGAAACTGTCCTTGGCGCCGTTTATCAACGCGAGGGGTATTGAAGAGAAGGAATTCAACTTGGATGATGGCGCAGGTGTGATTGTGCTGAGCTACGAATTTGCCCAAAAAGACAAGGGCAAGAAGCAGTCACCGCCACCACCGGCGTCGTCCACGACCAAAAGCAGCAGCTCGAACGACCCCCATGCTTCGATCCCTCGCAGCTTGACCACCACTGCCGAGCACGCGCCGTCGTTGTGGTACATCCACCCGTCGTTTTACTACGCCAAGACCAAGGAAGTGTACTCGTACGCGACGAGCTTCTCGGCCGTGGGGTACGTGGCACGCTACGGCGAGTCGACCCTGGAGTACCTCTTGCATCGGCTGGCGCCCAAGCAAGTGGGCAGTTTGGATGCGGTCGATCAATCGTTGGTACCGGCGCTGACCAAGGTGGATTCGCGTGTGGACGAAAACGTGTCGCACTTGCTCAAGTCGATTGCCGCGAGCCAGGACTACCTGCTCAAGACCAAGGACGGCGCCCTCATCAAGGTCCACAACACGGTGACGGCAACCAAGTCGTCGGTGGTGTCGACGGTGTCGAGCGTCCAGGCCAAGGTGAGCCAGGTGACGTCCTCGACTGTCGAGACGGCGTGCAGTTTGCACCAGAAGACGGTGGACAAGGCCAACGAAGTGCGCAAGTCGACGGTGGACACCATTTCGAGCGTGTCGCACTCGACGTATGCGACGCTGTCGAACGCGACGCACCACATTTTGGCCCACGTGCCGTTTATCAACTCGAAGGAAAAGGCGTAGCGGGTTTCTATATCTATTGGTGTGTCGCCCCCCATTCGTAGCGCGAGCAGAATGGTCGACTGTCGACGCTAAGACTATATCGTTTGAACAACTTTTCATTTATACGAATGTTTGGGTGTTGGTGTAAAACAACATGTACGCCTCGGCGCCCAACACGGTGGCTTCCGGCACGACCTTGACGTGGGTGTCACTCGTGAAGAACCAATGGGCGCCATGCTTGACATATGCCACGTAATGTCCTCCAAAACGGTTCCCAGAGTGCACAACCACTGCTTGCAGCGTGTACGTTGTGGGCCAGTGGGGGCCATACAAGGCTAAGTGCACGTGAGTAGACAAAAGACGAGAGGTCCAGAGGACGTACGCTGGGCCACATACGGAGCCACGTCCAGGTCCATAGGAAATGCAACGTGTCGACTGAGCTTTTTAAGCCGTGTCAGTCGCTACAAGAGATGGTATGTCGACGGATATGTGTGGTGGGTAGTGCATTAGCATCGAACCTTGAGATGCAGGGCAAGCACAGGGGCCGGTGTGTGCAGCTGCAGTTGGATCCCAGCAGTGTGCAGACGAGAGGGGTCGGGCGGCGTTGTTTGGCTGCAATGGTCGCACTGGTAGCCACATCCTTGCGCTTGGGAGAGCTCTCCTGGTGCCGTAAACAACGCCATGCAGTCTTCAAGTGCACACTCGTCCACCTGGTGACGACGTCAAGACGATGATATATATAGTAATAACGATACACCCGTGTCGTTACTACAACCAGAGCTACACGAACGTACGTACGTTGTTTGGAATGGACAAGGTGAGGCTCACGCATGCATCGAACGCTTTGGACGTGGTACTGCACGTCCGACAGACCACTGTACTGCAGTGCACATGAGCTTGCAGTTTCAGTGCAAGATACAGCAAGAGGGGTGCAACGAACGTACTTGACCAAGCAACCCATCATGGCGCGTCCAACAAAATTGTCATGCCAGCTGCTCGCGGTGCCAGGTTGCGTCGACGCCGATGATGATGCCGGTGGAGGACCCGCCAAGAACACGTCGTCTTGGTCCAGTCGGAGGGTCTCGGCGACGAGTTTTTGGATTTCTTCCATGGAACTTCCCTCTCGCACCTACATACATTCCCACTTGACTGTGGACAAACAGGCAGGGCGAACCATCAAGCTCAAGGTGTCGTGGTCGTCGGTGTGGACAAAGATCTGCTCCATCGGTGGCGAGGATGGTCCTTCTTCTGCATTCGTTGCGTGGGATGATGTACTGTTGCCGTTGAATTCGTCGTCGATGGCCCACACGAGCCCTAAGAGCACTTCGTACGCATCCTGCTGCTGCCGGTTCCGGAACTGCCGACACTTTTCACGGACGGCACTTAGCAGTTGAGACGGATTATACACTCGCTTGCCCGTCTTCTTGGTGGCAGGTTTCCCGTCCAGAATGAAGTCCCTATATCCATCACGACTTAGGATGTGTTGATTCAGTATGGACTCCTTCGTACAAGAGCGCTCGGGTGATATCGCCCCCACCGCTAGCCTTGGAAGGTCGAGCTCGGTTGGCCAACACAGGCGCAAACACACTCTTTAGCGCCTGAATCGTAGAGTTGAAGTAGCAAGTGTTGCCCAAATTTGCCAAGCCTAAACACACCCAACCAACCAGCCTCAGAATCAAACGATCAACGAACGGCTGGCTCGCTGCGTACCTGCTGGTATCAATCCAATGGCTGCTGCTTCCACGATGGTTCCATCGGCATCTTCTTCTTCGTTTGCCTCATGTTTGGATGGTTTGGGATCTTTCGCTCGTTTGCTCTTCTTGCTGGATGGGGGTGGTCGGTCCAGTGGCTTGTCCGTGGCTGGCTCGTGGTCGCCCTTGGCATGCAGCATCCGCCCGCTTTTCCCCACGACGATTTCGTCGTAAGCGGCGATGACGTCTTGAATGGCGCGACCAATGCGATCGCTTCGATCGAGAACGACGCCATCGCACTTGACGCACCTGCAAGCACCACATGCGTGTCGTCGATTCATGGGCGATCGATGATGGCCTCGTACCAGATCTCTTTCGTGGACATGTTGAAGAAACAATAGTGCTTTGTCATGTGCCTGAAGTGCAATTCATGTCAATTGCAAGAAGGTGTTCGGTGGACACGACACGCACTGGAGATGGGCGACAGTGTGGCTTTGGTGCAGACACCCCACGAACCCGCACGCGATGCAAATGGCATTTAGCTGGACCTTGTCCAGATCGTTGACCAGCTTCGTCGCGTGTTTTTTCGTGGACTTCTTCTTCCCACCTGCTGTAGCTTTCCCGCAAGTCTGTGCATAAGGCATGTCATCGACCATATTGGAGCGTGTCCACTCATTTACCTCGCAACGATGCAGCCCACCCTTCTTCATACGTTTACGTAGCATTGCAATGTTCACCGCGGCGGTGATGTGTCGACACCCCTTTGCGTAATCAGCCGCATCGTACTCTTTTGCGCTTGGTGACTCCATGTACTAGTAATTGATTCTTGTCGTTGGAACGATGTCGCCGCACCGCGGTTGGCTGAGTCCAATCCGCATAATTTTGAACATCCGGATGTAACCCAGCGGTTTCACAGTCAGAATACGACAGCAAAAAGCAATGCGGCCAACATGCTCGATCGCTTGGGGTACGACTGCCGCCAAGCGTGCGTCGCCAATCATCACGATTCGCTACCGGTAGGTCTGTGCTCAATTGTGGCATGTGCATGGGGGAACGAACAGCAGAGTGACCACAGTACCCTCCTGCAAGAATGGAGCTCGCCAGCAAGTGCCCAAATGTCACCATGGCACCGTACCGACATTGAGCGAAGGCTTGCCGAGGTCGATCCAGTTTCAACAGAGCTGACGTGTGACTTAGCCATCTACACGGCTTTTCTCGCCGGGGAAGGTAGGTGTTGTCCTCATTCTCGTACTTCCAGGTCGCCGCTCATGTTTAAAGAAGGCAAGGAGATGTTCGTCCAGGCGTCGCTGTGCGAAGCCAGCATCGAGTACTTGAAACTTCGACTTGCTGGTCGATTTGGACCCGTCCTTCAGTCCGACATCCAGACCGTCATGTGCAGCACCAGCTGCATGGACAGCGACGTCATGCATCAAAGCGCCATGGAACGATCACACTGCAGCTGCACCCAACTGTCCACCGACAGTTTCATTTCACAAGACTTTTGCCGACAGAACTCAGGTCCGATCATCGTACAGTGTCTATCCCCACTCATGGTGTCTGTAGCGCGGTTGCTTTGTAGCATCTTGGGGGTCTGCGGGACGTGGGGCTGCGGGCTCCATGACTTTATGTGTCCTCGGTACGATTGGGACCGACTGTACCCGTGCGCTGCCACGTCATTTCAAGTGTCCTTTCTGGTTATGGGAGTGTTGGCGCTAGCCGTTCTGGACGCCATATTAATTCAGTAATGCATGGTTGTCGTCACTTGGCGTATCCCTCGCAAATATATACTGGCTTGAACCATCCATTCAATCACTACTTATTACCGTAACTACGACACTCCACGAGGGACACCGGGTGCAAAGTACGTTTGGTCAATACCCCAAGGGCCTGTGTCTGGGAAAATGAGCTCTGGGTATAGCCCCGTGCCATACGAGGCAGTGTTGAGCCTGCTTTGCGTCTCGTAGTCGAACTCCAGTGCAACGGTCGCCCCATGTACATTCAAACAGGGGGGCTACACATAAAGCACTCGTTAGTTTCACCACGACGAGCAAGAGGACGTACTGCAGCACAATAGTACCACGACAACAGGTCGTGCTTCTCCCACGCATGCCCCGTCGCGGCTGTAAACCCCTAGTCACGTCAGTCAGCCGTGACTATCCACATGGACATATCAGCGACCAGACGATGGGCACATGACGTACAATATACGCTTGGTCGTTGGGCAACGCCAACGCCGCCGCCAAGTTGATCGGCACTGCCAACAGTGGTGTGTCTGTAGTTATGCCGTTGTCCATGAACACGACAACACAGCCCACTCGTCGCTCCTCGGACATGTCTTTTAAGAACGGAACCACGTCTGGTGTCGCAGACATGGCCGCAAAGTACTGCTGCGGTATCGTGTTATAGTAGCGCACTTTGGCGATATGGATGCCACCGTCGGCAATATCCACGGGGGTGGGCACCGACAGCACGAGTGGCGGGCTGCCCGGCATGGAACTGGACACGTGAAGACTACAAGTTGGATATTTGAGACGTGTGATGCACACATTGTAGGAGGAATAAGACCTGACGTGGTCGACCAGGAGCGCCCCATTCGGCCGAGTGTGAAACACCACAGCGAGGGCCGGAGCGATGTCGGACCAACCGAGCGCTTGTCCGGATCCCCCCAAGGCGACCGTCGCGTTGGGGTCGCCATGTACGACAAACGCAAAGCCGTCGCCGCCGTGGACGACGCACGACTACGAACAGACGATCGAGAAGAAACGACATACATTTGTGAACATCAAGCCCAACGGGGGTGTACTTGGTATGCTGAGAGGCCGAAATTGGGTGTTTTCACGTCGTAGCAGCGCTTGGCGTGGTCGGAAATCTAGAGTTGGTCCGTCAGATATATAGGCGATTCATTACAAGGTAGTCACTGTACTTGAAAAGTGAACCGCGTTTCAAAGCCGTCTAGGACATTCAGTGGGTCGTTATACCACACGGAAGACGCTTGATGAGGCTGGGATGCTGTCAACCTATGGCACCTCTTGATTGTTCTGACGTTGGGAGGCCGCATACCGCAGACGCACAGGGCATTCGCGCTGAGACGACGGTTGGTATGTGTCGCGATGGCCAAACATGGCAGTAGTGGATGCGATCCGTCCTGTAGACGCTGGTGTGGACGTTTCTGTCGTGTCGAGGGTGACTCGGTCGAGCGAGTGCGACTAAAAGTCATTTGGCCATCAACAACTGTGGTCGCCCTGAGGGTGTATACCTGAATCACGTCTAGCTGGGCTTCAAGCACGTCGCCATCCGCGTAGTTGACACCGTATGCATTCTATTCTCGTTATAAGGTCGCGGCAAAGTTGGGAGGGTTGTGTACCATGGGCTTGAAGATGCAATTTGACGTCGCACTGTTACCATTCAAAGTCAGTCCCAGCGTTTCATTGAAGTCGGCGTAGAAGAACACTACACAGTGATGACATGTTAACTCTTCGTTTGCATGGTCACGTGACACCTCCTTGTGTGGCGGTCGGAAGTAGCGTCGCCACCGCCACGGCATGACGGATGCTTCGGCGCATACGAATATTGTGCCGCCTCAAGATCCAGTAACTGGCGTTCATATCCGGACTTGTCCTGCTAACGCATCCGGACGTATACGTAGATTTCATTGGTCAACACCTTTTTATCCGGAGCATTTGTGGTGATAGTTTTTGAGTGTCACGCCATTTTCGCCGCAACATGCGACTGACGGTACATCGGGGCGAGAATATCGGCACCCCAGAGCAAGAAGTGTCTCTGGACACCTATGTCCGCGTACGCCCCACATGGAAGTTCCGGTGAAGTTGATGGTGTCTTCTTCTGTAGGTCGTGTATGATGGGAAGGAAGTCGGCATCACTCAGATCGTCCGACGAGCAGCGAATCCTGTATGGGACGCAGAGCTGTGGGTCCCACTGCTTGAGTCATGGGATATGAGCGTGGGTACGCGCTATCTCATATTGTTAACGCGCGATATCATCTTGTATTTGTAGCTTTTGTGGCATTCGATGTCAAGTGCAACGACGACTCCGCACACACCGAGTGCATTGCGTCTTGCCGCGTGAACTTGTCCCTGATGCAAGATGCCAAGGAACCAACACAAGTTAGGTGTCAGTTGATCCGTGGCTCGACAACGCGGCGTGGATGGCTGTACATCAGCATGCAGATGGAAGAGTCGGAGATGGCGTACTTCTCGAAAGCCAAGCGCATGGACGTCCGCGACGTGCTGCCGCCACACAACGACCGCTTTCACCACCATTACGCTCCCATCCCTCGCGTGTGGCATCCGTACGCCATGTCCTTCAATGCAACCCTCCTCCTCATGCATTGTACATAGGCTGCACGACTGCATTGTGCCGTCGAACGAAAAGGTCCTGTACTTGGTCGAAGAAGTGTCGTTGACGTTCCACGTGACCGAAGGCAACCAAGGGGTGCTGGCGCTCATGGTCGTGACCAACTTCCGCCTTTGGTTCATTCCGTATGCCCCCGTGCAGGGCCTCCACCACGAAGACGTGCACACGATCCCTCTCGGCAAAATCGCCAAGTTGACGCAGACCCAATCCAAGCAAAAGCACTTTACCGTGCATGGCTTGAATATGGAAAACATGGTACTACATATACAACTGCCATTTGTTCCATCATGTCCAATGGCCACAACCTGCCAGATGGCCTCGACTGTGGATTTGTGGTATTGAGCTTTTACCCAAAATTTGATTGACTTTTATGCTGATTCGCGCAAATCTATCGATCGATTGTTTGTACTGACGTTAGTACGAAAAGATTGCCCCGTGTCACACTAATTTAAGTCACACACTAATTCGATGATGAACATGATGTCGAAGACTGGATTTGATTGGCTACTTGATGAGTGTTGTGGGTTTTGATTGGTCGATCATCGATTGTGTGTCGATTTGGTGCTTCTGCGCATTCGATTGAGCACCCAAACACTCCAATTTCGAATCGACTTGACCATCTATGCTTGCATCGTTTGTTCAACCATGTCCTATAATGATCGAATGCTTGGTCCGACCTGCCAAATGGCCTCGACTGTGGATTTGGTCGAGTCCTTTAATATACAAATTGCTTCGTTTTCAACCATATCCAATGGCCACGAATGCCAAATGGACTTGATGGTAGGACGCGGCGCTGTACTCTGTGACCCTCAACGCCCGATGCCGCGCCGGCGACTCGGACGCCAAGCGCGTGCGCATGCTGACGCATATTGTCCACGAGATCGAGTGGCTACAAATGGAGAATAATTTCTGCGCCTTTACCGACCTAAACATCGTCGAGTCCCATCCAGAGGCGAATGTGACGGCCCAACATCCTGTCGGAATAAGTCCCATGACCAGTCGATCGATCTTGTCGACTCTGACGACGGCGGCACCACTACCCACCGGCCCACCTCCCCAGTTGTACGACCCTTCGACCTTTCATCTTGAAGCGCTCCAAGCTATCCGTTTGATTATGTATTCCATCGTAGGCTACGTTCGTACACGTCATCATTCGACCATTCGTTGGCCCCACCAGCCAGACTCGTGAGTCCCACGGCGACGAGTGCCGCCAACAAGCGACGCATCCGATACGACCCCCTGTCCGAGTTTTCTCGTCAAGGTATGTCGTCAGTGACACCGCTGATCGATCTTTATACCAATTCTCAACTCCCCCTTGAAGCTAAGGAAAATGCACAGGTGTATTTAGCCATCCCGCGTGGAGACAGACCACAAGCAACGCCCACTACGGCCTCTGTGGGTCGTACCCGAGCTTTGTGCTCGTGCCCACGTCCATCCCCGACGACGTTCTGGCCGAAGCCGCTCGCTTCCGCTCCAAGCGACGACACCCCGCGCTCACGTGGCTGCACCCTCGCACAGGTTCAAACACTGTTCCTTCAACATGGCTACACACAGACTCATCTGATTGGCTTAGGCGCGCCGCTGTGTCGGAGCAGCCAGCCCAAGTCGGGCGTCCTGCGCACAAGCAGCAAGGAGGACCGCGACCTCCTCTGGGCCATCCGCGACGCCGCGTACCCCGTGGACGGCCGGTCCAAACCGTCCACGTTGGTGCACATTGTCGACTGCCGACCCGAGATCAACGCCAAGTCGAACGCCCTCGCCGGCAAAGGCCACGAGTCCGCCAAGCACTATGACCGAGACGGCATCCCCTGTGCATGTAGGACCCCCCCCCTTGTTTTTCCCTTCACCCCCCCTAACGATTGGTGTGTAGCGATTGCATTCATGGGTATTGACAACATTCATGTCGTGCGCGCTTCCTTCAACCAGCTCAGCCAAGCGCTGTACCAAGTGGACGACGCCACGTTCCACAGCACGTTGCAGAAAAGCCGGTGGGGGGGAATGAATCCATCATCCCCAATCATTGGGATTCACACTATATGTGTACATACATAGTTGGCTGGAGCATATCAACAGCATTTTGGCGGGGGCGGTCGAAGTGGCGTCGCACTTGGAGCGGGGGGACGCCGTGCTGGTGCACTGCAGCGACGGATGGGACCGTACCGCCCAGCTGTGCGCGCTGGCGCAGCTGATGCTGGACCCGTACTTCCGGACGCTGGAAGGCTTTGCGATGCTCGTGGAGAAGGACTGGTGCAGTTTTGGCCACAACTTTGCCAAACGGTGCGGGTTTCCCATCTCAGACGACACGTCGCCCGTGTTTCAGCAGTTCCTGGACGCCGTGTACCAGCTGACACTGCAGTTTCCAACGTACTTTCAGTTCAACGAGATGTTTCTGTCGACTGTGGCCGACGCTGTCTACTCGTCGTGGTACAAACAAAATACTTGAATCAACTCGAGTGACTTGGCTCATTAATTGTTGTATTGAAACACTGGCACGGTATGTATGTAGGTACGGCACGTTTCAAAAGAACTGCGAGGCGGACCGCGCGGCATTTCTTTGCGCCGTGCCGACAATCAGCGTATGGGACTCTATCCGCGCCTCCACCGACATGTACCGGAATCCGCTGTACAACACGGACACGGACGACGCGATGGTGCCCGTGTGCCGCGTCCGGCTCATGCAGCTGTGGACCAGTCAGCACCAGAAAGCCATCAGCCACATGCGGCTGCAGCAGCGCGAGGTGGAAATGCTGGCGTTGATCCGGCAACAAGAGCGCGACTTGGCTCGGCTGCGCGACATGCTGTCCCCCGAGCAGCACGTCGAGGTCAAGAACGCCCAGCTGCGCTCCGAGATACAGCGACTCGCGCGGAAGATTGCCATCCACCACGAGCCCCGCCTTCCTCTTTCAAGTCTGTCGTCGACGCCGAGCACCACACCTGACAAGGCCAAACTGCTGCGCCGACTCACGTCCAACGTAGCTAGCCCCACACATAGCAACACCCCGCACCAGGACGCGTCGTCGCCTTCGTTAGGCCCGCCGCCCTTGCAACCAGTCGATTTGCTTCGAACGCGCAGCGGAAGCGGGCGTATGAAGCAGAATCTGACGGCGCTCTTGACCGGCCGACCCCACGTGTCCGACCTCACGACGCTCCGCTCGGAATACCAAGACCTGACGAGGCAACTGGAAGCCATGCGCACGATCGCCGTGTCGTTGGACGAGGACGCACACGCGACGATGCAGCAGTACGTTCCCCCCTGACCATAGAAATATATATATACCTATATTGGAACGAATATGGGTATAGATTGCGCTTTCAAAACTTCAACACGCCATTGGAAGAAGTGACGATTGGCCACGAATATGCCAGACCAGACGAGGGCCCGTTCATGCTGCCGTCGCCGTTGTCGTCGGTCCCGACGACGGCCCACAACAATGCGGCAATGGTGTCTGCGACACTGTCCAATTCGTACTCGAACGCCATCCGCAACATCAGCCTCTTGGCCATGACCGACTTCAACCAGACGACGAAAGGACCCCGCCTGCATTCTGCGACAACGTCGCGAGGCGGTAACTCAAACGTACAGCCCGTGTGGGAGTCGGACAAGGATGCCGCGTGCTGCAAACAGTGCAAGAAAAAGTTCATTGCCGTCGTGCGCAACCGCCACCACTGCCGGTGCTGCGGCTACGTGTTTTGTGGCAAGTACGTGTCTGATTCTGATGCTAAGGGGGAGGGTTCACGTCTGATTCCACAGGTGTACGAGCCATCGCATGTCGCTGCCCGAGTTTGGGTACTTTGAACTGGTCCGCGTGTGCCGCGTGTGCTTTAACTCTGGGAGTGGCTCGGACGAGTATTTGCACGACGACTAGATACAATGTAGGGCGACTACTACACCGGCAGTTTTTATATTTTTTCGCTCAGATAGTAGCGTCATCGCGTTCGACCACGTGGTCGGACAAGGCAATCTCTTGCTTGACCACTTCGCTAGTTAACGACAGCATGGGCGGGGGGGTATCCATTATACCCGTCGCAACAACGTCCGAGGGCGTAGTGGGCACTGCCGCAGCGCCGTTCGTGTCGGTGCTGACTTCTCCAATGACGACCGGCTCTGCGTCATCCGTCACGTACGGTGCTGGACGTTTGCCCACCGCCAGAGCCTGTCGGTACCGAGGGGTGGCAACCATCGCTTTGACAAAGCTGCCGTTGTAAGCATTTTTTGGTGTTAATCGGGCGATGAGAGGGGACGAACAGCAGATCGACGCCTTGGACGACACGGCGGCGTCTTCGATCTCGAGGGCGGGTCGTTTGCCTTCTATTCGTCGGCCAGTCGACTTGTGCAGGGGTTTCTTTACAGGTCTGGGAGGGGAAATGGTCACGTTAGGGCGTTTGCGGGGAGGGGGGGGGATGGAGTGTACCGCGTGGGCATGGCGTGGTCTTTGGCCGGGGTGACGTTGGGCTGATGCGGCGGAGGCGGGGCGATCCCCATGAGACTTTTGAGCTGCAGCTGCTTTTCATAGTGTTCTTGCCGGACGTCTCGTGGAGTGATTGTTTTCAGGAGTGTTGGAAACGCGCCTTGAAACTACATGTCCACTAAATAGTTATTCCCTTTGGGGGAATGCATATATATTATATATATATATGTAGTGGACCAGCTCGGCACGGTACGAGCCAGGTCCAGGGGCACTTCGTGTGGACTACAGTAGGAACGGATGTGAGAAATCGACTGCGACAACCGAGCAAACCTCTGCAAAGCGAGGGGTGGCGGACTTGAAGGGCGTTGCATTCCCCTTGTCTAAACAAGGACAAGTGGGGGATGGCGTCGTGGGGGTGCGGACGTACATTGGGCGTCATAAGTGATGCCGTGGTCCACTTCGTAGATGGCGTCCGTTGGCAGCGGCAACACCAGGTGCAAACTCGTGCACCGGTCGACCCTACGACCTGCATCTAGATACACCGACGCAGTAGTAGTATCGGGCGCACTTGTACAGCGATATCGAGCGGGTCGTGGACGGCAGGTGGGGGTCGATGTAGCCAGGGCCACGGCCCACTTCGTACGGGTCTGCACTTGCCATATCAATGCTAGGTATGTTGCTCGAAGGATATACCTTGAAACCCTTTCTTGTGTATGGACGTTTGCCGAAATGCTGTGTATTGCTGCTGCGCGAGCCGCACGTTGCAGTTGTCCTTGCTTCGGCGCATTGGAATCGGTCGTGGCGGCGAAATGGGGTGCATTCTTCCGCTAAAAATAGCAAGCCTTTGGTTGCCATGTTGCATGACCCTTTCTTCGAAAAGGATGCTGATGTATACTGTACTGTACATGTATGCACTTGGTACCGTAATCCTACACGTGATCTCCATCAAGATAACGTGTACTACCGGTAGTAAATGAGTAGTGCATTGCCATCTCCTCTAAATCAAGTTGTTGCATTGAAACCTCGACGGGATTGACTGACAGGTATGTGGCCCTAAGGTTTGGCATGCAACTATAACTTTATCATGTTTCAAAGCAGGGCCGACAGACACAGCTCAGAGATTATTGGCAGCCCAGGGAGGGGGAACAACTGCTACAGTAGTCGGCCATACTCTGCCAAATTCGCAAGTTTAGTTAACCAGCAGGAACGTTCAAAGGCATGGTCATAGCTAGAGGTTTATTTCTTGATGAGGTCAAGTACACGCATCCAACGCGTTTTCGAGTGCATTGTGTACTTGTACTCGGTCTATAGCTCGCCTTCCCACCACAACCCGTCTGTGTTCATGTCAGCCTTTTCGCTTTTGGAGCTACAAGGTCTTCAACTTGTTGACGTTCGATTCCAACAGCGTCGGGTCGGCTCCGGAAAACTAGGACGCAGTCACGTCGTGAAGAATGACAACGCGACATGAGCAGCAATTCAACGTACCCCCAGCGATTGTTGGAGTTTGCCATTCGCATAGAATTGAAAGGTGGGCATCGACTACGACATTCCTCATCATCACCAACAGCCAAGACAAGATTGGACTGGAGCTGTGTACCCGGACACCAGCGACGTGGGCGGTGTGGTCAAGTTCATCCACGTCGACCTTGACGAATGAAATGTCCTCGTTCTTGTTGCTGGACATGCATTAGTTAGATTCACGAGCGGAGGACCGACGCCGTGTACCTGAGGTTCGCGTAAATGGGCGAGATCATCTTGCACGGGCCGCACCATGCGGCCGTGAAGTACACGACGCTCTTGGCGTCCGGACGAGCAATCAACTGTTCATACTCAGCGTGCTCCGCCAGTTCCTTCACGAGAGAAGCTACAAACGGATGACATTCCCGTAGACCTAATGGGAAGTACCTCCACCGCGCGAGGAGAAGCGAGCGACAGACGCGCGGGAGGTGGCGGCAGCGAATCGGCGAAGAAGCATGCGGAACGACAAACTCAAGATGGGGTTTGTCGGCAACGATTGGCTCATATATTTAGGGTATTTCAATGATATAAGGTTTTAATCCCCCAGTTGAAGTCCGCGATCCACGTTTTTGAATTCGAAATGCAAAATCACACTGGTAATTTGTATGTAATATTTTAAAATTCACCAAATGAAAAAGTCCAATTGCAATCAGCATCATTATCGCCTTTCCAACAACAAACAGAATGACCGCGTCAGCAATAACCCTCCGAGCACTCGTACTCCGTGCAATGGCACTGGCATTCTTCCATGCTGCCGCCGTGTCCGGTGACTGCTCTGCATGCGCGACCAGTGGGCAGTGTGCCACGGCTTTCAATGGCGGCGCTGGGTATTTCTGTGGCAACTGGGCCGAAACTCCCTGCTGCTGCCCAGACAATGCCGTGTGCATACCCACCTCGCTCACTTGTCAATGTAGCCCCGTCACGGATCATGCAACATTCTCGCCTGTAGAGTCAACTTCGTGGGACGCGTCCAAGATCCGCTCCAGCGGCCTCGTGGCTGTGTTCGTGTGGTTGACGTGCTGCTTTTGCGTGTACTGGGGCTGCTTGAAGCGCATGCGACAGAGTTTCGTACGGCAACATCATTACGTTGCCATTCCGCCGTTGCACGCTGGCGCGAATATGTACAGCCTTCCGTTCTCCCATGCGATGCAGTACCCTCCCCAACCACAGGTCCAGAATCAGCCTCACCATGAACTTCCACAACAAATCGCGGCACCGACGCCACCACTGCGCCCTGATGGAGTCGATCGCATGTTGTGAATGGGCAGACTGTCTTGACATTGCCCAAGATCAGAGTATAGCTCTTTTTTTCATGCAAACAGAACTATTTAAAGCCAATTCATTTCATGAGAATTCCAAGGCTCGTCCCAGTGACAATGAAACGTTGTCGCATGATCCAAACGATGTTTTGACAGCACAATAATAGATGATGCTTGAATAGGACGCATAACTGAACCTAAAAGTCACCGCCAAAGTCGCCGCCGCCGTTGTCGCCCGAGTCGCCAGCAAACGTGTTGTCCCCAGTATCCCCAGCAAAGGTCGTGTTGTTGTACCCGCCATCGTACCCACCTCCGTCGTGATGGTGCATGGCTTCCCCAATGGCAACGCCAGTTACGACTCCCGCGGCAGCTCCCAAGGCGGCGCCTGTGCCTACGCCATAGCCAGACTGATAGCTCTGGTACACCACTGGCTGCGGAGGCGCCATGTATACCGGCTGCTGGGCCGCGTACACAGGCTGCTGGCTTGCATAGACCGGTTGCTGGTTTGTGTACACTGGCTGGCCATATTGATTCGTCGGTTGGGCCACGGGAATGTATTGCGCTTGGGCGACCGGCACATACTCTGCGTCGTCGTTGCGACAGCAGCAGCGACAGAGGCACCACGCCAGACAGATCAAAAACAAAAACGAAGCAATGCTACCAACGATCGTAGATCCGGATCCGTTGTGTGGGCGGTAGGGAGCAGGGGCGGCGGCACAACGACAATCGAAAGGAGTGGTTGCGCATTGGGCGTTCTGTGGACAGCAGCACGTTTTGCCAGCAACAACCCCACAGGATCGACCAGGGGTCCCTCGATAGGCAGTGCTGCATTCGCCATTGTACACGCACGAATTGCAGTCGGCGTCGACCACGCTCGCAAAGCACAGGAGCACGAGCGACACGAGCAGAACAAGTCCCGACGATGTCTTCATGACTGCAACTCGGAAATGGCACTGAAGGGAGGGTAAACGAGAATGCATGTGATTGGATGTGAATTCTGCCATTATAGGAATGCAGGTATTACCGTCATTCATGACCTGACATACGAAATTAATGATATATATTATTAAATACTAACGTTTGTATTAACACCTGTAAATAATTCCAAGTACAACATGCATTCCACCCATGCCCACCCATACCCTAATTTATACTATTAATAGTATGCATCGGGTAAAGTCGGGTACGGGTACAGACCTGTCAGCGAAGGTGCCAGTTAACACAAGCACTACTGTACAGTTGCGGACACTTCTGTTGCAGGATCTGCGCAAGCTGACAGTACAGTACCATAGCGAACATTCCGTATATCCTTTGACGTGTGGCTGTCAAGCTGTGGAAGGTGCGATACAGTCGTAGACAGTGCGATATGGAAACGGCTTCTTACATCTTAGGTTGATATTGCCGAGGGGGTGACGGGGCACTGGGAGGAGGATGGATCGACCGAATCGCTGGAGGTGGCGACTCGTACGGACGCGCTTCATAGACGGATTCGAACGGAACATGTGATTGATCTTGATCGGTCAGCTTGTTGCGCGCGGAGGACTGGGTGGCGAAGGGCGCCGCCACGGCGTACGCTGGCACTGGTTGGTTTCCTGGGTAGGTGGGTTGGTTGTGCGATGTGGGGAGTGTTGAGTCATTGGACGAAGGTTGCAACAACCGAGCGACTGGTAGTGCATACGGTGGCTGTTCTTGGGGATAAGATGACTGGACATTCGGATCAAATGCTTGGATGTGCTGTTGCTGAAGGACGCTTCCGTATGTGGCTGGAACTGTGTCGTATCGTTGGTACGTACTCGCAACCGGGGCTGTAGCCAGCACGGGATGCGAGTAGCCTCGGTTTGGTCTGTTAGGTAGTGGGAGGAGTTGGTTCGAAGCGGGCAGTTGGTCGTGTGATGGTTTCGCCTGCGCTTGCGCCTGGCGTCCAGTGCAATTGTGTCGCACGCAGCAAAACGCCCCAACGAATAGGCTCACGACCAAACCCATGACGATGGCGACGACCAACCCGTCGTTTCGATCCATAGGAAGGTTCTGCGGCGGTGCGTAACCAGGATACGGCAGATTGCGGCACCTGCAGTCGAATACCGTGGCAGCACATTGCATGGTCAACGGGCAGCAGCAGTAAACGCCGCCAACACGTCCGCAGTATGAACCAGGCGCGATATCTTTGTAAGCCAGCGTGCAATCGCCAGACATTGCGCAGTCATCACATGCCGCCGACACGATGGAGAGGACGGTCAGAAGGACGGCGGCAAGCAGTCGAAGGAACGACGAACCCACCCACAGCATTGCACAAATTTGACAAGCAAAATGGAATTGTGGGTCTCATAAAATAAATGCATGCAGGATATAATACAAAGCAAAACCAAACGTGTATATTTAAAATAATATTCACACGTGCTAGCTTTCACTATGGAAAAGTTACTTCGACGGTTTTAAAATAGTGGTCGAATTAATTCACTAATCAAAATGTCCTGAAACTGACTGTGAGAATCCATACAGTAGTGGCACAGCACGACCGAAGCAAGGCCGCGCCATGTTAGCGAATTTGCGAGCTTCTTGAACGTTTCATGCTTCCCTTCTACATGTTATTCCGCCAGTTCCGTCTGGGTCATGCGACTGTTAAGATATCGTTAATGGTCACGTTACACTGTACCGTACTTGCAGTGTGCATAGACCACAGCTTCAACAAGGTGTCAAAATCTGCTGGATTAGGAGGAAAGCCTAGAGTAACTACCTAATTGACCTAATTTAGGATCCTACTGCATATATTATAGTATTTATTCCTAGAGGAGAATGATTTCTGTTACCAAAGGCGTAAATTGTGCCTTCTCGAGTTATGGTGATGCACGTGCAACTGGCAGAAGCACTGGCGAAGGTGGACAAGCCGACCCAGAAGCTCCTCAAACATGTCATCCACTATGAACCAGTGCAGCAGATGCTCTGCACCTTTCTGGCCGACACATCGCGGTCATTCGAAGATTGGATCTGGGACCCCAAGACCCGTGACGTGCTAAGTCGATTGCAGTCGCGGGTGGAATTCGCTGGACCTCAAGCTGTCAAGAGCGACCCGACACTTCAAGCAAACTACGAAGACGCACTCGTCAATGGCATCGATCACATGGACGTCGAGTCGTTCTTCGCCGCCGCAGATGCCGCCAAGCAGGCCGGCAAGTTGCATTTCGCCGAAAAGCGGTTTGATGCGGCACTCAATGCGTTCCGAAAAGCTGCGGATCTTCTCAAACCCCAGCTAGAACCATGCGAATCTCCCTCGATCCTCACGCCTCTGTTTGTAACCTCGTGCACCAACGCTTCAATCTGCGCAATAAGGTTGCAGCGGTGGCCAACCGTGCGCGAGTACGCCCAACTGGCCCTTGCTCAAAGCCCCAGCGACGGGAAGGCGTGGTATTGCCTGGCCAAAGTGTTTCTATGGGAGCATCGTTACGACGAAGCCAAGGACGCGGCAGAGAAGGCGGCACTTGCGAATCCATCCGACAAGTTGTGCCGCAAGGTGCTCCACGACATCGACGTCCTTCAAGCTCGCCGCGACGACCAGACGGCAAAGGATGTCGAGCAGCTTCGACACGAAGCCGAACGACTGCGTCTGGAAGAAGAGACCCGACGACGTGGCCTGCCAGCCGAGGACGCCGCGTATAAGCCACGATTCGTGTGGCTGCCCCATCCAACATCCCCCAAATCGCCCACGAGCAACTTGCACACGTACATGCAACGGAGCAAGGAACACGTACGCTCTGGATGCCTCTGTTCCTCCCGTTATGATGATCACTTGTGGTTTTATATGGGTAGATTACGATCGAGTTTGGCCAGCTCCACGACCCAGAGAATGGCGAACCTCCATTGTTTGAGTGCGTGGTGACCAACCATTCGTCGAAAACGCGACTGGCGACCGCCCGCGCGCCGAGCAAAAAGGCGGCTCAAGCCATAGCGTCCGAAGTAGCGATCTTGAAGCTGTGGTTCGATCGTCACGCGGCCAATAACTTGCACGCTGACGACCAATCGTACTTGGCTCAACACCCCGAAGCGCTAGAGGCGGCTTTGGCGGTGGACTACTCGATTGTGCACACGGTGTTGAGGTCGCAGTTGAAGCCAACAGCGCCATCGACGTACACGTGCGCCATCTTCCTGAACGACCTGGACAAAGGCATGGCCCCAGCCATGTACCTGAACCAACTGCACTCGCAAGGCAAGCTCCACGTAAGCGACTTTTTGCTTGGTGTGGTACATATATCAAGAGAGGACGATACTCTAGATTGACTACGACATCGCCGACCTCTCGGACCTTCGCAACAACATTCAACTGTTTCGCGTGTCGGCCGTGCTCAATGGGCGCGTGGTGGCCACGCACGAGTGTCCGTCCAAAAAGACCGCAAAACAACAAGTGGCCAAGGTGGCACTGGACGTGGCGCTACGGGAAAGCCGCGCCATGTTCCCTGACCAAGTGGAAGAGCCGTCGTCGTTATGGCAGTGAATGTGAGTGTACATTACAGCAATGTCACAAGTAAAAGTAACGGGGAAAGGCTTGAAAATGGCGGCAATAATGACGTGGGAAATTAACAAGCTTACTGGAGTACTCTCGAGGAGTATTTATTGACCAAGGGCCCACAGTCGTATTAAAGTTATCGTACTACAGTACTATTTCTAATATTAATAGTCTTAGTTACCAGTACTGTACTAACTGTAAGAACTCTAATCAAATTTTGCTTTGCACTTATTGTGCTTTCGAGTGAAATTTCGTGTTGTGGCGTGGTTTCTCGTTGGAATTTAAATCGATTTAATTGGCTACTTCAGATGAGCTCAAAATTATTAGCCAATCAAAACCTTTTCAATGAAATTCAACCAATCAGATCGATTGTGGATCGGTTTGGTCGGCGCGATTCGATTGCACCCCCTCCCCAAATTTGTATCAAATCGACAATAATTGTACTATTAATAGTAGTTCTACGTCGTCTTTGGCATAATCGACCTCGAATCCGCAGATTTTATTAATACTGACATCGCCACAGATTTAATACAGTAACTGTGTGCACGGCCGATAAAGATTTATTCGGCCGAGATAGATCATCGGACCCCAGATTTATCAGTCCTTGCCCGGAATTGCAGTTTGAAACCAATTCTGGGTTGAGTCTCGTTATCCCCTGCCTGACTTCAAAATACTAACTTGAGGCCTTTGTGAGTAGAAAGGTGTTGGAACATGGTATTGGGCTCGGAGAAGCCAATACATGTTTGCACGTACCTCGAAGTAATGAAAAATGCAATGAATGCAAGATCAACACTTGCGCCCGTCAGCTCTTACAATGATCGACATGCAATGCGGAGCAAGCTACTGTAGTGGCCGATGAAGCGATACAGATATTTAGTGTTTTTATCCTTCCAACCCACCATAATAACTGTACATCTGTCCCAGATTAACAGAAACCTTGCGTTTTGCCATAAATCTAAGATGCCTGCGGTTTGGCCCGTCTGGTAACCTGAAATATTACAATATTTTGTCCCAAAACGCCATGTTGGAGTTGACACCTCAGATGTGCGAAGACGTTTTTTTCGTCTTCGCAGAGTATCAGAATCTTAGAATCGCAGAAATTTACATTTTCAGATAGCAATTTGCCGTTGAAACAGAGCTACAGGTACACTTTTTTCGATTCCACTACGTGGAAATATCCGGATACTTGGTTTCAGACTGCCGAATTTCCAAATAAGTACTTACTAGTAACTGCCAAACCTATTCACTGTCAGGAAGCGCCATGCTGATCAAAAGTTGTACATTATTCGAATAATTCGGCTTCTTACGACTTTTGAGTATCTCTAAGAATACTTATTTCCCATTGGCTACCGTCTAAATGTATTAACACGTCAGAGTCAAAGGACACAACACTGCAGACACAAAGGCCTCTCAACTGTAAAAAAATTGTACAGTACTACTACATAGTAGAATCTATGCATCAGTGGTAATTCAGGTCATCGCAACGATCGGCCGCCTCCAAACCAATCGCTCTTGACGATTGGAGTTTTACCATTCAGTTCAACGCCATTGATGGTGAAATACTTGGACAGCGTTTGACGGGCTATATCCTTCAAACGCTACTTGAAATTGCCACCTAAAATATCTGAAGGTGATACCCTACACGATACATCGCTGAGGTGTCCTCAGATTTCGAGGAATTGCAAAAGTGCAGTTTGGGGTTTCGGGGTTGCGGAGTTTCGGGGTAGGAAGAAACTAGTGGTAAATTACTAAAGTACTCGATAAATGACAAGATGCTGCTACATATTGGAAATCTGGCGGTCTTTTGGAATTTATTGGATGTTTAATTTGTTCAGCGGCTATTGTGTTGGCCATCCGTCACTGACAATAATATGACTGATTTCGTTGGATTCCGAGTTTTATCCTGACTCGTCGTTAATCACACGATACATCATGCAAACTGGTTTTATAGCCTAATACTCAGACCAGTTTTTTCGATCTGAGCGAAGACTATCTAATTGTCATGAACACTATTTCGGATAGAAGTACCTTGATATTGTGAATAGCACAGTTTTTGCTCAAGACATGAATGACTGATTTTGGGGCGTGGATTCGATACGAATTTCCAGACCCCGTTGAATCGAATCTCGCCACCCAATCACGAATCGACGCTATTGCTAATCCATTTTTGAGTGGATTTGATTGGCTCGTGCAGAAAGGACAAGTATATTCAACCAATCAAAACTTCAGCGTGATTCAATATCGACAAACCAGGCGAATTTTGGATGGAAGTTTGTAGCGAATTCACAATAGGCCTTCTGAGATATTTTTGGAAGTCCACGACCCTTTCTATTTTATTAAAAATATTAATGTATTCTTACAGTTTAATGAAGCATTCTTTTACACTTATGTTCTGTATTCCATTTGACCATTTTAAATAAATTGTGTAACCGCTACAAGTCAAGACTACAATCTACTCCGGAGTATAATGTTATACGAGTTTTTCATGCGACATTTGAAAGGTATTTCGACGATTACTCGAAAAGTAAAGCGAATGAAGAATCGAATTCACGGAGGAAAACGGCGTATGCCTACTGAATTTCATATATATATTCTTAGAACCTCAAATACAAGCACAAAAAGGATCGTGGATGCTCTCGACCACTCGTGAATTCAATCAATCTGATAACAATTGAAGCATGTCGTGCTCGAAGATTTTTAACCCAAATCCAATAATTCCAAGCGGGATTTACTCCTTGAGGAGGTCCAAAACACCATATTTCAAAATGGACCGTTTATCTCCATTTGGAAAATGGCATTTTTTATTTAACGTTATCCCATCTTGCCAGAAAATGGAATATTATTTTTGAAATGTTACCAGATGCACCCTAAGTATTGTGGACTCGGTACAAATTTCCAGATCCCGTCGAATGGAATCTCGCAGTCGAATCGAATCACGAATCGACGCTATTGGCTAATCCAATTTTGAGTGGATTTGATTGGCTCTTACAGAAACGACAATTCAATATTGATTTGACAATCCAGGCAAATTTTGGGAGTTTATAGCGAATTCACAATATGACTGCCAAATAAGTTGCGAAGCACAAAACTATTACTAGTACTACTAGTACGTAGTACGAGTACCACTGTCCTACACTGCACTACAGTGTAGTAGTACTATAATAGTACTGTACTACCGGTACGTAGTATACGTATAGTAGTTCAAAAAATACGGTATGAGACGTTTTTCCTAGTTTTAGCTTCACTTGAGAAATTCGAACCGGACAACGACCATGCATTTTCCAGCGTGCTTTCTACATGTAGCTTGGCGTGCACATTTACTACGTACGTTCATGGCAATGATGTCGACTACTAGTAATCTCGTTCGCCTGCATAGATTTGTTTGCTTTACGACCCCCATAGCTTGCATGGCCAGATTCTTCGTTTCAGTGACATTTGGTACATAGGGGGCCTACTAAAACAGATTCACTACAAATTCCAAGAACAGTGAAGGTCTCGACTCCCATGGGGACCCACCTTTTTTGTCGTTTTAAACTGGCAACAAAAATTCACGTCCGGTCGACCAATTGTGACGACCCAGATATTTTGATGCAAGTCACCACATGGGCGTACCTTGCTTACAGAAGTTCAGTCACTGACCATTTTACGATGAAGCACGTATTCCCTGTTGCCCACGTATCCACTGTTGCTCTCGTAGCGATCCTCGCCGCCGCCACCGTATCAGCTGCCACCCCAGTCAGTATCTGTCAAGATGCGACCTACTCTATTGCTGGGTCGATCTGCTCTGGCAACGGCTTAGCGCCTGTCGGACAAAGCTGCCCTCGAGTGGGTGACGTGGCGACCAAGGACTGCCATCCGTACCTGCCTTCTTGGGACGCCAAGACGTCGACCTGCATTCTGAAGGAGGACTCTGTCTGTACGAAACTCGCATCTGGGGCGTGGGGATGCGTCCTCCCATCCATCGGTTGCGGCCAACCTGCAAAGAAGAAGAACAGCAAGCCGTTCGACTGCGATGCCTCGCAATCAGCACCGGTGGCTGTGACGTCGTGGGAGTTTTCTGAAAACGACTCGCCCAGCCTTGCAACGGCGTCTGCCGCCTCCGCCCCTGCCTCATGGTTTGTAGCGTCGACCGCCAAGGTGCAGTATGAAGTCGGCTGCTTGAACTCTGCCAAGTTCGTCAAGACCACAACCACCGTTGCGCCTACTACTACGCAATTGCGAACGGCCACTCCAACGTACCCGACGGCGTCCCCAGCGACTACCATCACGGCCAAGCCAACCACCACTGCCGTCCCTGTTACCACAACCAAGCCACCAAGCACGGCTGCCCCTACCACATCGAAAGCCACCACCACGGCTACCCCTACCACATCGAAAGCCACTACCACGGCTACCCCTACCACAACCAAGGCGATTACGACAGCCACCCCATTGACCCCAGCGCCTACCACAACACAGGCGCCAACTCCGGCGCCTACCCCTGCACCCACCCCAGTTCCTACTCCTGCGCCTACCCCTTGTCCTACACCGCCCCCCACCCCTGTGCCTACTCCTGCACCAACACCTTGCCCCACAACTGCACCGACGCCTGCCCCTAATCCCGAGCCCACCACTACGCCGACGGTGACCACGACGACTACTGCTAACCCGACCACCACGACTACTTCAAGCCCCACGACTACTGCTAACCCGAATACCACGACTGCTTCCCCTTCCACGACTACTTCAAGCCCCACGACGACTACTGCTAACCCGACCACCACGACTGCTTCCCCAAGCACAACCACTGAGGCTCCGAACGGCGTTTAGAGATTGAATACCGCGATCTAATATGCAAAAGTTGCACTTTTGTTCCAAAGTTCCATTGCGTACGTAGTACATGTTGTAAAGGGTGGATGAATTACCCAGTTTCTGGACATTGGCGTGACTCAGAGAGGTGGTAGCACCATACAGGATCTCCGATGTACAGTAAGTAGCACGAATCGTCACATCCCCCAATATGTACGGCACAGCACAAAGCAAGGAGATGACGGTACAGTAGTAGGTATTAG